TTCCAGACAATGGAATATTATTTGCCATGAAAAGGAATGAAGTACTGATACATGCTACAACATCGATAGACCTTGAAAACATGCTAACTGAAAGATGCCAGTCATAAAGGACTACATACCATGTGACTCAATTTACCTGAAATGCGCAGACTAGGCCCATATATAAGGGGCAAAAATTGATTTTTTTGCCCAAGGGAATTGGGGTGGGGAAATTGGGAGAAATGGGGAATGACTGCTAATGGGCATGGGGGTTCCTTTTATGGAGATGAAAATGTTCTAAAATTGATTGTGATGATGGTCCCAGAACTCTGTAAATATACTAAAACCCATTGAATTGTACACTTTAGGTAAATTGTATGGTATGTAAATTACATCTCAGTAAAGCTGATGTACACAGTATTCACTTCAGGATTGCTGAGGAAAGCCTAAAAAGACAGGCATTTGTATTCCAGAACACCTACAATGTTATTAGCTATGTATGACTGCATATTTACTAAGATGTCAAGAACAGAGAAAACTGACTTCAAATATGAGTCCCAGAAAGTCAAAAGAGCAAACACCTGTATTTGCTGGCATTAATTTGTATTTCACATAGGCAAGTCTATGTCAATTTAGGGTTGAGTAGCTGCACAGATGCATTTCTTTATTGAAGATTAATAATTCTCTTGAGCAATGCTTCACATGAGGACAGCCAATGCAAGTAAAAATACAACTCCAGTGTTCCCTAGCTCATTGAATGGCACCATCATTCTCCCAGTTGCCCAAGTCAGACCTCTAGGAATCATTCTCAACTCCTCCCTCACTTCCATTTCTAATCTATCCACAAGTTCTGTTAGTTCTGTCTCCTAAATAATCTCAAATTCATTCACTTCTTCCCATATTCCACCATCATCAGCTTAGTTCAAGTTACGTCTTTGACCTCAATGCTGCAGAAAGTATTAACTGGTCTCCTTGCATCTCTTGCTTTCTTCTGTATGTTTCTCCATCCAGCAACCAGAGTGATCTAAATTTTCAAATGTGTGTGACCTTGCTTAATTTTCATCAGTATTTTCCCATTGCTCTTAAAGTGAAAGACCAAAATACTGAAGGTGGCTTACAAGGCCCTGCCTGCCTGTCTTTTCTCATCTTGACCCACTCTTTCCCTCACTCTCTGCACTGTTAGCCACTCTGTACTCCACAAGGCCACTAACTGCCATCTCCTAGAAAAATTTGATGGCCCCTTTCTTTACCCTGGCCTTCTTTACTGACCACTGCCTCCTTTTGAAATTCTCTTTTCCTTTGTCCTTTATTTCTCATCAGTCTTCCCTGTGGCCTCTTCCAACTCTTACCACCCAACTATGAACTTCTCCAGTAGCCTCTTCTCTTTCCTTCTCTCTAAGGCAGACTCAGGAGCTATTGCAAGTTCAGTTCCAGCCCACCCCAATAGAGCAGATGTCCTGACAAAGCAAACCATGAATATTTTGGTTTCCAGTGCATATAAAAGTTGTATTTACACTGTACTGTCGTCTCTTAAGTGTGCAGTAGCATTGTGTCTAAAAAACAATGTACACACCTTAATTTAAAAATACTTTATTGCTAAAAAATGCTAACCATCATCTAAGCTTTCAGTGAGCCATAATACTGATCATAGGTCACCATAACAAATACAATAATAATGAAAAAGTTGGACATATTATGAGAATTACCAAATGTGACACAGAGACATATAGTGAGCAAATACTGTTGGGAAAATGGTGGCAATAGACTTGCTCTACACAGCTTGTCATGAACCTTCAATTTGTAGAAAAACACAGCATCTACAAAGTACAATAAAGTGAAGTGCAATAAAACGAGGTATGCCTGTATTCTATACTCTGTCCTGTAAGTGAATTGAAACACTTCAACTATTACCTGAGTTCCAGTCCATATCTGCAACAGCATATGTGATATTTTCAAAGACACCTCAATCCTAACATGATTAAAATAAAATTAAAATAAAACTTAACATCTTGGTGCCTTATCCCCCAGAAACATTTCCTTCTAATTTCTTCTTTCAGTGGTATCAGCCATTCAACTATGTACTTTAGAGCCACTTTCAATTGACATATTTTACTCCTCTTATCAAATCAGTTACCAAGTTCGTTTGATCTTCCTTTATATGTTTCTTACACTTTTCCATTTCCACTATCACTATTTTAGTTCTGACCCTCCTCAATTTATTCTTAGTCTTACAAGTCCATTGGATCTCACTGTCTTTTCTCACCACTGAAATGCCAGTGGTGTTTTGTTCTAAACACCACTGGCATTTCAGTGTTATTAAAACTCCAATTTCATCGTATCACTTCCCTTCCCAAAAAGTTTCAGTGACTTCTCATTGCCAGCAGAATAAATTCAAAATCTGTGGCCTGTAATGCAAAATGCTCTACACACTGAAGCCCAGTGTTTCACAAATTACCTTCCACAACATTAGTAAATGATCTACATACCCTGGTTTAAGCAAGGTTATGTGGTTTCTTTACTGCCAAAGTTTCTAAAACTTTTAAGGAACTAATGTGCATTATAATGCTTCAAGAGGGGGTTCGTAGAATGCAGCGTTTCCAAAATGTATATGACTAAAGAACTGTATTTTTATCTGTTAACACTTCTCATGACAGTAATGTTCTGAGGAAAAACATTTAGGAAATGCTTAGGTAGCCCCTTCCTACCTATTTCCCATTAATTTCCCCACATAAATTGTCTGCTTAGCCAAACACCTATTAGTCTCCATGAGACATGTTCAGGCTCAAGCACAATCCAAGTCTTTGTTCTACCCATATGGAATATCCTTCTCTTTCTTTATATGTCTATATTTTTATTTTTACTGAGATATAATTTATAAAAATCATCACAAAATTCATAATTCTGATGTATACATTTCAGTGGTTTTTAATAAAGTCACAAAATTGTGTGACCATCACCAATATCTAATTCCAGAACAATTTCATCACCCAAAAAAGAACCCCCTTTTTTATTACATTAGCAGTCACTCCCTGTTTCTCCCTTCCCTCATCCCCTGGCAACCACTAATCTGCTTTCTGTCTCTGGACTTGCCTATTCTGGACATGTCATTTAACCTCTGTATATCTAGATCCTACTCATCTACCCTAAGACCATGTTTGTTCAGTCACTTGTTCATTCATTCAGTGACAATCACGACACTGTCAGACACTGCCAGGCTGTGACTATACAGAGGAAGCTGACATTCAGCCTTCAAGGAACTCCCAGCCTAAGGGCAGAGACAGACAGTACAGTGTTCTAAATGCTATTGTAGTGCTGTGAACGAAGTGCCACAGGAACAAAGTGGTGTAAGTAGTAAATAGAAATAGTGAATAGTAAGTGGGAAAGTCAGGGAAAGCCTCACTGAGCAGGTAGCATCTGACTGGACATTGATTCAGTTGTTCATTCATTTGTTAATTTATTCATTTGACAAATTTCTAGTCTGCCCCTGTTATGTGCCAGGCACAGTGTTGGACTCTGGGGATACAAAGATGGACAAGCAAAGTCCCTCCACCTCAAGGACCTCAATAGACGGGAGGAGGAAATCAATATATAAACAGTTTCAAAACAACATGATATAAGTTGTATTAGAGGAACAGAGGAAAGGCATAATTAACTCCGTGACTTTGGAAAAAGATGTTTACTGAGTGGACAAGGGTCAAGGGTGACATTTCAAGCAGAGAGATGAGACTCCTCTGACTATCAGCCTAATGCTCATTCCTTTTCCTGAACTAGAGCACCTAATGCCTGTAGCACTCTGACTAGCCCTTAATCACATACCTTGTGTAGTGGAGGCCTTTATATGGGGAGGCCTTGTCTCCCCAAAGGCTGTAGGTTTCCTTTAGGTTGAGAGCTTTGTCTTAGCCCTCTTAGTGCCCTCATTCTCATAGTATTTTTAATAGATTCAAATGAGTGAAAGAGCCACAGCTGAGACGTTGTCACTAACACTCTCAAGAAACTGCTGCCCGAGTGTTCTGCTGCATTTCCCCCTTCAAAGGCCTAAGACATACCGTATGAATGAAGGGCTGTAACCTGGAATGAGCACACACAAGCCCTCTTTGCAGTTCCTACACAGGAACTGAGAAAGCGCCTTAGACTAATCCTTCTCACCATTGCAAAATCTTGTAATCAGCCATATTCAAGACCACTCAAGAGGCAAAGGGACCATCTTAGAAACAAACCTTTTGTTCATAGCTAGGTATATATAGTCAACATGAAAGATGACTTTTCATATTACAATCAGTTGACTTGAAGAAAAACAGATTCCCCTCCATAATCAGTTTTGCCTTCAAAGCAAAAGCTGGGGTTTCCCAGAGAAGGAATTTTCCCTCAAGACTAACATAGAAATGCTGCCTGAGTTTGCAGCTTGCTGGACTGCCCTACAGATTGCAGACTCAAGATTATAACATCAACTCATACCTGAATTCATAGCCCAACTGGCCTAATCTACAGATTTCACACTTGCCAGACCCCACGATTGTGTGAGCCAATTCCCTAAAACAAATCTGTCTCCATATATGCAAAAAAATAAAGATGAATATAATTTCTATTCCAAACACAGACTGAGGTCAAGAAAATTAAGAGATTCAGTAAAACTGCTTCTTGACAAGCTTCTCTGAAGATTAGAGATAGGTACTGGGGCGGTAATTGACTGAGGGGCACCAACGGAAGCCCCGAACAGGATACAGGTCATTCTCCTGCTTCAGAGAGACCAGGACTTGATCCAAGAGGGCCTCACTGCTTTTTCAGTTTCCATGTCACTATGTGAGGCCTTGCTGTGGAGCATCCTACAGTTGCCGAACCTTCAAAGAGCTCTCCTCATACTTTCTGGGAGCGCAGAATTGCTTGTGGAGGGCCTGGCACCCTCCTGGATGTTAGTAGAGCACCCATTGTTGGTTTGATTATAATGGGATGCAGCACATATACATCAGTGGTACAATGATTGTGATAGAGATAACTGTAAACCCACTGTTCTTGGATTTCAGGAAGGTTACCCAGAAATGGAGGTTCTCTGGCTGATGATTAGGTCCTGGAATACTGGGATATTTATGTATCACAGTAGCAAGTATGTATCTGCTGAAAAATGGTGTGACCTGGCACTTCGCTTCCTGGACCATCTTGGCTCCCTCAAGAGAAGCTATGAAATTCGGGTGAGGAGGGAGAAGGGTAGGGGTAGATGGCATGACTCAGGGTGCAGAGAGGTTCTGTCTGGGCTCTCAGTAAGGACTCACCCCTGCCTGCCTTGGTTAGGAATGATATTGATCATTGTTGTTCTCAGTGTTTCCATAGCTGCAAGAGGTAGGGGACTGTAAATCGTCATTTCTTAGAGTGAAAACCAAGAATAATGATGAATGGGGGGAACTTAAGGATAGCTAAAGTAGCTGCCTGAGCCTAGTAAATGGACCTAGTGTGATGGGATTCCTCTTCTACAAGAGGGTACTGTATTTTCTCCCCTAAGTGGCGCCTCAGATCTCAGAAGGTAAGGGTTAGACTCAGGTGCCATCACCATAGGTCTGGGAAGTTCCCACATTTCCTTTCCTCTCAAGAAGTCTATTTGCTGTTCTCTTTCCCAGATGAATGTTCTGTATAATGAGCTTACAGAAGCACTAGAAAAAATCAAGGACTAACTTTTTATCAAAGAATAAGAATTGCCAGAAGAAGGCCCATAACCATATGCAAGCAAGCTGACAACAACTCAAAGAATATTATGGGCCTGCAATTGTTGAACATTTAAATTCTTGCCAAACTTTCTCTTGAGCTTTTGTTTTGCTTTGGTTCTGTTTTCATATTGTTCAGTGAAATTCTCTAAAATAAAAGCATTTTGTGTTTTACCACTGTGACCAGCTCATTTCCGGGGGACAAGAAAATTTTCCAAAGTGGTTAGGATGGTATATATTGAACTAGCCCATATGAGAGCGAGCTGATTCACGCTTCATGAGAACAAAAGGGAATGTTTGACAAGGTTTCATTTTATTCCAGGAGTGCTCAAATTCCCAATATCTGAAGTTAACAGAGAACACAGACTCTCCATCAGAGAGAGACTCTCCTTAGTAGTCTTTGGACCCAGCACGGATTGGGGATCCATAAAATCTCTTGTTGACGTCCTTAAGAAATCTGTTGTCCAGGCTCCAGCAGAACACAGGCTACCAGAGAGATCTCCCAAGACAGCCCAGTCCACCTTTCTTGCTCTCTAACTGATAAAAAGCCCTCTGTCATACTGATCAGAAATCTGTGTCCCTGTAACAAGTCTGGTTTCTCCATCCAACACCCTTTGGAGCACTGAAGGCAGAATTCAGGACCCTCCCTATCCTCCCCCCTAAACATTTGCAGACCCCTCGCTGTTCATCATGTGATGTATTCACCTCACCTTTCAAAAGCCAAGACCCATGTTTCAGTGAGGTCCGGCTCCCACACAGTTCCACAGTCTTGTTCTGGCTGGACCTGTATCAGTAAGATCACATTGGCTTTTTTCCCCACTTGATTGTACTAACAGTTTTTAACTTTTGATTTTGAAATAGTTTCATACTTACATAAAAGGGGCAGGTAAGTACAAAGAATTACCATATACTCTTCACCCAGCTTCCCTACTCATTAATATTTTACTACATTGCCTTATTCTCTTTGTGGGTGCTTCCTTCTGAACCATTTGTGATTAATTTGCAGCCATCTTGCTCCAGCACCCCACAATACCTCAGTGTGTATTTCCTAAAAATAGGGATACTCTCCTACATGACCACAGTACAGCCATTAAAATTAGGGCATTAACAGTGATACAATTCTGCCATCTAATCCACAGACCCCATTCAAATTTCATTGATTCACTGTCCTGATGAAGTCCTCTGTAGGATCCTAAGGCATATTTAATTGTCAGGTCTCTTCTGCAAACCAAAACAGTTCCTCAGTCTTTCCTTATCTTTCATGACCTTGACATTTTTGAAGAATAGGCTGATTACTCTGTGGCATGAACCTCAACTCAGGTGTGTCTGATATTTTCTAACGATTAAATTCAATGTATGTGTTTTGGGTAAGCATTCCACAAAAGTGGTGTGTTCTCAGAGCATTGTACTAACAGGCACACAGTGTCAATTTGCCCCGTCACTGGTTGAAGTTAAGATTGCGTCCCCCAGGTACATAGTAATTACTAAGTGTGGGTAAAATTGTAGCATTTCCAGAATATCTCTCCTGGCTCTAGTGCATTTGCATATCCTCAGGGGTGGAGAGAAGTTCATGTCCATATCAACGGGTAATTAATTGGACAACTGAGCACATGTCTCAACCTCAGAGATTAAGGGGAGGGGATGGCTTGCTTGCTGGCTTCTTCTGGAGCAGATGAGAAAGATGGCCCTGGACTGCAGTTTGTAAGCAATAAATGGATTTTAAACTTTATTTCTCCCTTTCACTGATTTTGGTTTCAGCTAGCTATTTTGCCCTGGGATTTCCTTTCCCTGGCATTACATCTGGTGGTAGTCGGCAGGACCGCTGAACGTGAAATATGTCAAAATTGGTGTGACCTTTGGGTGAGCTGCTGCAAGAGATGATGGGCAGATGTCTGGAGCCCCCTGTGAATAGTGGGGAGGCCCCAGTGGATGCAGCTGCAGAGGGTGCAGCTTCACCTGGAAGACCCTATCTGTGGGGCTTCCAATTTGGGAGCCCTTAGTGGGGAATTGGTCTAGGATAAAGCACCTCCTAGAGGAGTAGGGCCTTCCCCAGAACTAGGGAAGGGTAGAGACACCAGAAGCTGCAGAATTAGTCCTCCATGAGATAGAAGACTGTTTAGAGGCCCTGAGTAGCCATATAAGCAGCTGGCATCATACGGTCTCTTCTTCTTGAGGTAGTGGAAGATTATTTTGAAGACAAAAATAGTTATTGAGAGGGTTATCAAGGAGAGAGAGGGACTTCGGCAGGAGAGAAACACACTTCAGCATCACTTGGAGGAGCTGGGTGATGACCTATGGGATGCCCTCAAGGAAGAGAGACAATTATTGAGAAAATGGGTTGTACTCCTGGAAGATTCCTTAGCAGCGGTGAGGGGGGAGTCTGCAGGAGAATCCGTGTTGCAGGAGGCCATTGGGGAGGGGGAGGAAAGACTGATACCTTCAGCCCCGGAAATGGTGGAGGAGCCCGGTGGAGATGAGGCAGTGCCATGGACAGATCTGCTGCTGAGGCTACCACCTGAGGTACCAGCCTATCCTCTATTAAAGGCCTGCCTGGCTGTAATGAAAAAAATAAAAACAACTGCGGGCTCTTCAGGGCAAGGAGCCACCATTCCCCAGGTTGTGTAGCACTCCATGCTCTGCCTATACCCAGGATTAGCATGTGGACATGAGTGTCTGGTAAAGGCAGAAGACATCAGAATATCTGTCTACATGGCTTTTACATCTGCGATATGGGGGTGGAAAACTTGTCGGTTACTGAAATGAGTAGACTGGCTTCCCTAATGACTCACCCTTCCCTCCAGCAGCGGTTGCAAAGTGCCCATCATGCCTCAGGGAATCAGACACTCCTGGAATGGGTGACAGCTGCCATCAGGGCAGTTTAGCCTAATCACGGTGATTTCCCATACTTACCCACTAGCTGAAAAATGTAAATAGAGCTCCAACAGGTATTGCAGGAATTGGGCATGAAAAATATCTATGGTATGGACCCTCAGGGCCCCAATGAGGAAATGTTCACCATAGGAATGAGAAACCTGGTGCCGCATACTGCTCCCACATGTCTCTTTGGGTCCCTAGTGACTACTCTTGCCCCCTCCCCATAGGTCAACTGATAAGTGAGGCTCCTGGTACTTTAGCAGATCTGGAGGAGGTTGAAACAATAAGGGCACGGAGGGAAGTACAGGCTACAACTGAAAGAAGAGGTGCAAAAGGCCCTGTGAAGGTCTCGAGGACCCAGATGTGGGTTAATTTGATAAAGGCCAGGGTAGTGAAAGAAAAAATTGATGGGCAGCCCAATAGAATATTATTAGAACTGTGGCACCAATTAAAGCCATAGCAGCAGTTCCAGTTCCTGTGGTCCAGGACATGGAAACCAGACACAAAGCAACACATCCAGCCTTTCTCTGAAGGACTTCCTTAGGGACAGTACTCAGGCTCTGTCTGGACCCTCACCCCCACAAAAGGACGATTGAGCATTGTGGACTGACTGAGTGCGGGTCAAGGCCCCCACCTTGGGGGACACGGTAGGGACTAAAGGCCACATGTATAGTCAGCAGTTCATTGGTCCCCTGTAAATGTACAACATGTCCTGGCACTGGTGGACACAGGAGCTGTGTTCTCTGATTCATGGCAACCCTGAGCATTTTCCCAGGACCCCTGCTGTGAGAGATGGCTATGGGGGTAAGGCAATTACAGTGAAGAAAACCCAAATCTCATTGGGGATAGGGTGTTTACCCCCAAAGGAGTGTACCGTATACATTTCTCCCATCCCTGAATATATTTTTGGGGTGGATATCCTGCAGGGCCTGTGGTTACAGACCACTGCAGGTGAGTTCAGACTGAGGGTACATGTGGTAAAGGCAGTTCTGAGGGGCATGCTAAGCACCCATCTGTAGCTCTGCCTGTACCTCAGTGGGTGACAAATACTAAGCAGTATAAATAACCTGGGGGGCACAAGGAAATTGGAGAAACTACAGGAGTTGGAGAGGGTGGGCATCATAAAGCTCACTCATAGTCCTTTTAATTACCCAGTTTGGCCAGTGAAAAAGCCAGACAGCTCCAGGAGTATGACTGTAGACTACAGGGAATTAAATAAAGTCACACCCCCTTTGCATGCTGCCATCCCCTCTATAGAAGACATTCTGGACATGCTCAGTCATCAGCTAGGGACATATCATTATGTAGTAGACCTGGTTAATGCTTTCTTCTCTATTGAGATAGTACAGGAAAGCCAGGAACAGTTTGTCTTAACATGGGAAGGCCAGCAGTGGACATTCACTGTCCTTCCACAGGGATACCTCCACAGTCCCACCATTTGTCATGGACTTGTAGCCCAGGACTTGGCCACGTGGAGGAAACTGCAAACAGTGTGGTTGTATCACTACATTGATTATGTTATGCTCACATCTGATTCTCTTTCAGATTTAGAAGGGGTAGTTACTAGACTGTTACAACATCTACAGGAAAAAGGATGGGCTGTGAACAGCACCAAGGTTCAGGGACCTGGTTTGTCTGTGAAATTCTTGGGGGTCATCTGCTCGGGTAAAACTGAAGTTGTTCCTGAAGCAGTTATAGACAAGGTCCAGGCTTTCCCCACCCCTACGACTGTGGCAGTATTACAAGCATTTTTGGGTCTTTTGGACTACTGGAGAGTGTTTATCCCGCACTTGGCACAAATTCTGAAGCCCTTATACCAGTTGGTTCAAAAGGGCATCAGGTGGGACTGGGATGAGACATGTGCAGCTGCTTTTACTGCTGCCAAGCGGGCAGTCAAGGCCATACAGGCTTTGAGTGTAATGGACTCATCAAGGCCCTGGGAGCTAGATGTTCATGTAATCGAAGACGGTTACAGATGGGGTCTTTGGCAGTGACTTGAACGGACATGCCAACCTGTGGGATTCTGGTCACAACTATGGAAAGAAGCAGAGGTCCAGCACACTTGATAGATAAGCAATTGGCTGCTGTGTACCATGGCTTGCTGGCTACAGAGCCCATCACCAGAACAGCTCCCACCAAGGTAATAACCACCTATCCCATTGTGGGGTGTGTGGAGACTGGACCCAAAGGCCACAGTCTGGCATG